AGCAAGCGTAATATTATATTTTTGATGTAGTTAAACAATGTTTTAAACAAGACATGTTGACTTCTAAGAAAGTGTATCTGTAATGTCCCAAAAATAATGACATAAAATTTCGTTTTTGGATTAATAAATCATTAATACATATCATTTCCATAAAACCAAGGTAGTCCAGATTTATCAAAACATCATCAAATCAGAGTAAATCACAGAAAGTGGAAACATGTGGTGTGTGCTCTGCAATCGTACCGAGCTCTTCCATATGAAAACCGAAGTACCTGAAACATAAACTGAAGTCGTAAGCACAAAGCTTAGTGAGTTCCCCAAGATACCACCTACCATACATAACTTATTACATAACGGGCCCCACCCACTGAGATACGGGCCCTGCCCACACCCGTATAACGGGCCCCGCCCCCTGAGATACGGGCCCCGCCGACACTCACATAACGGGCCCCGCCCACTAAACATATAAACATATAATCATATAACATTCAAACACATGCGAAAATCACAAATATGGTAGCATACTGCACAATCATCGAGCCCCGCCCACATACAAATCATATATGCATAACCTGATACTAGCATACAGAATAACCATCGGGCCCCGACCAGTAAACATACAAACACATACACATGCAAGAGTCACGCATACATCTAGCACTCTACATAGCAAACCATGGTTCAACATTGGTGCCTTCGACCCGCTACACAGAGTGAGGAAACTCACCTCGCATTGCTGAATCCCACGGATAAATCTCTGGCTGCTGGCTGACCGATCCCTGAACTATCAAAATCAAAACAACACCCAATCAACACTTGGGTCTCAATCTATATCCATAAATCCATACTCGGGGTAAAAAGACCATTTACCCCTAACCTAGCTTGGTCCAAGACTAAGGCCCAAACTTACTGTCTAAAAGGCCCAAAAGCCAATTAATCAACCAAGGCCCAATTATGGCCCAATTTTCCAATTTGGGCCCAAACCCCTTACATGGGCCTTACCCTAAAGCCCAACCATTCTTCCTAGTCCAAGATACTTGTACTCAGATGGCCCATTAATAACTCAAACACTCAAGCCCAAAAGAAAATCCAACATGAAGCCCAAAACGCAAAGTCTCCTCTAACTGAGTACGCCCCGCGTACTCAGTGGGTACGCTAAGCGTATGCCCAAGAAACTCAGTACGCCCCGCGTACGAGGAGGTACGCACCATGTACTGACCCTGCCCACAACCAACCTAGAGAACGTGTTAATCCCTTAAGCCAAGGCGTCCAAAACCTCGGAATAGCTAAATATTAGTGACTTGATCCATAAAGTCGAAGGCTTTAAACCTTTGCATGGCTTAATAAAGCTCAACACCAAAGATCAAAATCACTCCAAAATGTCTTAAAAACTTCTTAATACCTTAAGACCTTAGTCCCAACTTCCAGATCTGATTCAAAGGGACTTCTTAAGTCATAAAGTTCTTGAATTTATGACTTAGCATGACTTAATGGGACCTAAATCAAAACCCTAAGTCCCAAGCTTCACAAAAAGACTACCAAATCATGCATGGAAGGTTTATACTCATCAAGATCCAAACTTTATGATTCCATAACCCTAACAAGGGCCAAATATGAAGCTCAAAGGTTCTGGAGTAACTTCTACTCATAAGAACCACCACAAAAGGACCAAAATCATAACAAAGTGCCACCTAGATAGATCTACAAGAAATAGTTGTCAAGGTTGAGATTTTATACCTCCAGAAGTTAGATATAGGTGAACAAAGCCTGGATCTAAAAGCTCCAAGTCAAGCAATGACTCTTCAAGAAGTTCCTTCTTCCTCCTCAAGCACCAAAAACAAACATAAATTACTTTGAAGCTCAAGAATCACTCAAATGGGGGCTGAGGGTCGATTTCTAAGGTTTAGAGGGATGGAGGCTGAAGATATTAGGGTTAGGTTATGAGATAAAGAGTTTAAATAGGGTCCAAGACCCTAAAATAGGGTTTGGTTCTGACTGGTGTACGCCCAACATACATATGGTACGCCCATCGTACTCCGTAGAGCATCCACGACCATCTTGACCAGTACGCCCCATGTACTACCCTTTTCACTAGTACGCTACACATACACCTATGTACGCCCCACGTACCCGACTAAACCCTAAAACCATGAAACTTCTGAATGCCATAACTTCTTCGTTATAAGTTCGTTTCCAACAAACTCTATATCCATGGAAAGGTGACAAGAAGCCCTACACTTCTATCAACTCACCTCCCCTAAGAACTTTCTGAACAAAAACCCAAAATTCATAAAGGACCGAGTTATCAAATTACGATTGTACCCGTGGGTTCCGAAACACAAACGAACACCCGAATCACTTAGACCATAACACCCACATCCAAAAAGGGCCAAATCTTTTCTTCCCCAATGCCCAAATCCTTATGGTGACTGATGACCGGGCCACGACCCCGAACAATGAAGTGATTCGAAACCGAGTGTTACAGTATCATTATATTTTGATGTAGTTAAACAATGTTTTAAACAAGACAGTTATAAGAAAAAATGTAATGTGAAACTTGGACAATAAAAACATGCAATATAAGCAATTGGGGGAATTTGAAACTATACATCAAACAATAGAGTTGTATAATAGAAAATAACAAACATATACATATACATATACAAACACAAACACAAACAAACGAAGAATATAGTAAAAAAGTAACAAACAAGTAAACATACATATTCAACCAATAGAACATCAAAAATATATACACACATATGGGTGACGATTCTCGACACGATTCGAACCCGACATGTAAATAAATGAGTCTGGATTTCAGACTTCTAACCCGGTAACCCGCCAAATAAACGGGTCGTGTTAGGGGTAGTATTTGGGTTCACAGGTCAACGCGTCGGCCCGTATAATTTTTTTATTATTTTTTTAAAGGGTATTATCATTTTAAAGCAAACTCTCTTGGAGGTGGTTACCATTTGATGGTTCACCATATAATATATTAAATTTAAGTTATACGACTATGCCTATCAGCATATGCGTGTTATGTGCCCTAAATCAAACCAATCCTCATTCTTATGCAATTAATATTTGGGTTCATGGGTCAACCCACTAACCCGGAAACCCGAATTTGACCCACGAACTCACGAACCCATATAATTAAACGGGTTAGACGGGTCGTGTACGGGTTTATGTTTCCAACCCGCCAACCCACGACAAGAATAATTATATGGGACATGTAGGAATTGATGCATTCTGACCGGCCAACCTGAAAACCCACGACCCGCTAACCCAAACCCGATATGATTATCAACCTTATCCTTCACACAAACCTAAAAAAACCTATGATTAAGCGATTGTGTTTGAGATTTAAAAAAAAGCAGAATTTTGTATATACCCTTCCTAAACATTTACATATCGTATTTCCCGACTTAAACTTTAAATATCGTATTTGCCATTCTCAATGTTTTTTAATATCATATATACCCAAATCTATTTTTTTAAACAATTTTTATTGATTTATAATTTTTTTTTATCATTTTGAAATCATTAAAACTAAAAAACATTTGAAATGGACAATTTTACCCTTGCTTCTAAATTCCAATACAACATCAGATCACGTGAATAATTAAATCGCATCCTGCTTCATCGATTGTAATCCCTTGCTTCTTCGATCGCAGCCTAATGGCTTCTTCCCTATCGCACACTAGCAGGAATATTCCATCTTGTTGTCGCATGAGCAACCTCTTATTCCATCTAGTTGTTGCACACACGCATCACGCATTAGGTAATTGAACCCAAATGAGTTGTAGACCAATTTGTCCCCTGCTGCTACCACCACTAACCTCGGTATAAAAACAATTCAAGTTAATCAAACCATAACCAACCCCAGTAGACTTAAGAGTAGAAAATCGATGAGTTGTAGACCAATTTGTTTACCTCTAAAGAGATTATAATTGAGACTTATATTGAAGTATTATTTATAGAGTATTAAAAAGACAACCGCTTTCATTAAACCCGAAAACCAAAGTCAAACAAACCATGGATAAAGCAACAAGCTATTCTAATCGTTCTATGTATCTCTTCCTGTCAATAACATGTTGACAAGAGTTTTATTCACCCTTGTTAATCCTTGGGACTTGGGAGATTACTTTTACATTGGCAATACATAATCATATACACATTTCACTTCAAGTATTGTTATTAGGAAAGCTAAATCTGTTGATTTGCCATTTCTTGGAGCTCTCTGCCTTGTTATTGATTTGACTCGGTTACTAATGAAGGAATACATGGGAAAATGAAAAACCCTTAGACCAGATCACTGATAATTTGGAAGCGATGCTGTGCTTGAACTCTTTAAATGGAATATCCACCTGTTGTCTTCGATAAAGAAGGGGATATAAGGAATATGACATAAATACACGTTGCTACTAGCGATTGCAAGAAGGAAGAGACGCCAAGAAAAAAATGGCGAGACGACGACGGTTACGGGCGATCGTGAGGAAGACGACCTAAAAACCTCATCCTCTGAAAATATTTTTGCTCGTGTGCGATAGGGAAGAAGCCACCAGGTTGCGATCGAAGAAGTGAGGGATTACAATCGATGAAGCAAGTTGCGATTTAAGTATTCATGTGATCTGATGTTGTATTGGAATTTAAAAGCTAAGGGCAAAATTGTCCATTTCAAATGTTTTTAGTTTTAATGATTTTAAAATGATAAAAAAAGATTATAAATCAATAAAAATTGTTTAAAAATAGATTTGGGTATATATGATATTTAAAAACATTAAGAATGACAAATACGATATTTAAAGATTAAGTCGGGCAAATATGATATTTAGATTTAGATGTTGAAATTTTGCCAAAAAAAAATGTTATTTTTCAATTTAACAAAATCAGTCCCTAAAAATCTTCATATAGAGACTAACACCCTAAAATGAAGTTAAACTTGCAAAGAAGGACCTATCTGCATATTCAGCCAATAGGTAACATAAAACCCCAGTAAAACCCCTAAAACGTAATCTCAAAATTTCTACCAAGAACACTCACACACGCTTGGTTTATTGAGTCGAAATCGACAAATCTTGACGTAAATCTGATGATTCTTCAACGTTCGATTCCGATTTTCAGTTTCTGCAAATTAACTTCATTGTCGTCTCCCAAATTCCTGTTCTTACCTTTCAGCTTATCATCATCGACTTCCTGTTCACCACACACGTCTCGATTCCACCACCGGCCGCGCGGCCGAATTAGGACCTTTTCCACCGCCGTCTCCGTCAATGAAAAGGAAAGCGATACCTTCTTTGCCGATGACACTGTTTCCTGGAGTTCCCTAGGGGTTGTTGATAGACTTTCTCAAGCTCTTTCTAGAATTGGCCTCAATCGTCCTTCTCTGGTTCAGGTAATTACTCAATTCGTCCAAATTTTACATAGATTTGAGTCGATTTCATAGCTGATATACGTAGCTTGTGTTGTGTTGTGAATGCGTAGAGATCATGAACTTCAATTTTTGGTAATTGCTAACACATGTTGCGTTCCACTTCAGGCCGTGTCTTTACCTCCTATACTCCATGGAAATGATGTTGTGGTTGCAGCTGAGACTGGCAGTGGCAAAACTCATGGCTATCTTGTTCCACTGTTCAATAAACTATGCACAACAACAAACGATTCAGTTGACACCGATCAGCAACTGAATCGGCCTCATATGTCTCTTGTTCTTTGCCCTAATGTCATGTTATGTGAGCAAGTCGTTCGAATGGCCAACTGTATCTGCAATGATAATGGTGAACCACTTTTTCGAGTTGCAGCTGTCTGTGGACGCCAGGTAACTGTGATATCCATATCCATAACCTAATCTTCAATCTGTTTCCCTCTTCTCCGATTCTTCTTTTCTTACATTGTTTTCTTTTTCTGTAGGGCTGGCCAGTTAATGAACCCAACATAATCGTGTCAACACCTGCAGCTCTTCTGAATTTCCTTCATGCCATTGATCCAGAAAGGAGGCGTCGTGCTAATTTCATTCGTGATGTTAAACATGTGGTAATGTTCCATCTAAATCATAACTTTAGTTGTCTCCTTGATGAGTTCTTTCTCTTAACTTTCTTGAACAAATGGTAGGTTTTTGATGAAGCTGACATGCTTCTTTGTGGGAGTTTCCAAAACCAAGTTATTCGCCTCATAAACATGTTCCGTTTTGATGAAAAACTCTTGTCACGTGCAAAAAATTCTTCACCTGAGAAGCCATTGGATATAGAATCTGAATCCAATATGCTATTTGAGTTAGAGAACCATGAAGACATGGAAGCTAACTCAATCCATGAAGATGATGAAGAAGAAGATAAAGATGTTGGAAATTCTTTAAAAGAAACCGAACCAATTGTTAAAAAAAAGAGACTGGAAAAGATACAGAGAGATATACGAAAGAAGCAAACAATACATATTTGTTGCAGCAACACTTCCTGAAAATGGAAAAAGAACAGCTGGAGGTGAACTCAAACGATTATTTCCAGAAGCCACATGGGTTAGTGGCCATTATCTTCATCGACACAATCCAAGGTATCTTTTTAAAAAAAAAATATATCAAATCTTTATAAAAAAAGAATTCTATTTACATGTTTTTTATCTGTGTTGATTCAGATTAGAGCAAAAGTGGATTGAAGTTACAGTTGACACACAAGTGGATGTACTTATAGATGCAATCAATCATAAATCCAAGACATTAAATTCCAATAATGAATTGAGTAGAACAATGGTGTTTGCAAATACAGTTGAGGCTGTTGAAGCTGTTGCCCAAGTTTTACATGGAAAAGGCATTGAATGTTATTGTTATCACAGTGAAAGCTCTTTAGAAGAACGCACAAGAAATTTGATTGATTTTAAAGAAAAAGGTGGTGTTTTTGTTTGCACTGATGCTGCTGCACGTGGCACTGACATTCCCAATGTCTCACATGTTATACAGGTAATCAATTTTTTTTTGATTTTTTCTTTTCTGTATTTTAATTCTCATTTTTTATTTGTTTTCAGGCAGAATTTGCAACATCTGCTGTAGATTTCTTACACAGGGTGGGTCGAACAGCTAGAGCGGGTCAACCGGGCCTGGTCACAAGCATGTACAATGAGTCAAACCGGGATCTTGTTTCTGCAGTTTGTCAAGCTGAGAACCTCTGTGAGCCTGTGGTAAAAAAAAACAAATTTTCATTAATAATCATTACAAAATATATTAAACTAGTAATTGAGTCTGCTTTTTCCGCGGGTTTTTACATATTTTTGTTGCGTATTAGGAGTAAAAATTGATTAAATAGTGACATTTTACAAAGATTAAAGTTGAGGGATCAAAGTAACATTTAAAAAATAGAGGGGTGAAAAATGCATTTTACAAAGTTTAGAAAACAAAAGGGTAAAAGTGATATTTTAAAAAGTTGAAGGTGGAGGGGGTGAAAGTGAAATAAACACGAAAGTTTAGAAAACGAAGGGGTAAAAGTGATATTTTATAAAGTTGAAGGTTGAGGGGTCAAAGTAACATTTAAAAAATAGAGGGGGTGAAAAATGCATTTTACAAAGTTTAGAAAACGAAAGGGTAAAAGTGATATTTTAATAAGTTGAAGGTGGAGGGGGTGAAAGTGACATAAATACGAAAGTCTAGAAAATGAAGGGGTAAAAGTGATATTTTATAAAGTTGAAGGTGGAGGGTGTATAAACATGAAAGTTTAGAAAACGAAGGGGTAAAAGTGACAATTTATAAAGTTGAAGGTGGAGGGGGTGAAAGTGATATTTTAAAAAGTAAAGGGATGAAAAATATCATTTTACAAAATAGAGGGGTTGCAAATGACGAGAAAAAATTACTTTTTAGGAAGTTGAAGGTGGAGGGGTGAAAGTGCTATTTTTAAAACTATAGGGATCGAAAATATAATTTTACAAATAAAGGGGTTGTAAGTGATGGATTATACAAATTTGAGGGATTAAAGTTGTATTTTATGCATTATAGTACTTGTACATTGTGCTTTAGGAGATGTACTTTTAGCTATAGTACATCTCCCTCACATATGAGAAGTTAGTAATTGTCTATATTTATAATGAACAATTATCTTCATTTTTTTTTTAATTCTTTTTGTGTTGTAATGATATAGGAAAAGGCATTTAGTAGGAAACGAAGCTTCAGGAAGAAACTAAAGAAGCAAGGTATATGACTATGTTGATATTTTGAATTTTTTAAAATTATTGGTGGAGTAAAAAGACTGAAATGACCCTTGTAATGAAAGCAGGTAGGATTGGAAGTAATACAGTGCACATTCAAGATAGATTAGCAGTTTAAAACATGATGAAGCATAAAACATTCTGGTATGTTTGCTAAAGAAACTGTCTTTTTAATGTCTAATTTTGTTTGTTCACAATGTTTAGATTAATAGTTTCATGAGTAATATTATATGTATACATATTTTAATGTCTAATTAACACTTGAAACCAATCAGTTACTTGAACCATTTATAATTATTGTCAGATTTTGCAATGCCGGCATTCTTTCAACAATTATTTTATACATTTTTAATAAATATATCTTTATTGTTTATAATTAATTAAAATTAATAGCTTAACTAGTAATACAAAAGTATTGGTTTGTATTCTATATATGAATTCACGTTCATATATAAATCTATATATAACAATTATCATTAATTAAGTTTGTTTATAGATATCTACTTATAGAGCTGGCAATGGGTTTGGGTTCGGGTTCAACCTATTAAATAATGTTAAATAAATGGGTTGCCACTGGGTTAACCTGTTTATATATATCACAAAATAATTTATTAAATAAATTGGTTGAACTGAGGTTAACCAATTTAAAATTTAAAATATAAATAGACTGAAAAAAGATTAAACCAATAATATAATATTATAATTAAAGTATTAAATAATATTATTTAAATATAAAATTAAATATATACTAATTTAAATTGGTTGGCGGATTAAAAAGAATTTGACTTTTTTTTAGCCATCTCAACCCATTCCATTTAATTAAATGGGTTAGGTGGGTTGATCCATTTAAACTAAGTGAGTTGAAAATCTGAGTTCAGCTCCTTAATTTTAGGTTTGGTTGGCAGATTGGATTGGTTTTTGTTGGCTCTCTTTATGTATGTTGATTGTAAATTTATAATTGTCGCTATATATATATATATATATATATATATATATATATATATATATATATATATATATATAAAACACTCACTAGCCGTTTATCCGTCCCAATCGACGGGTACGAATAATTTTTTTTCAAAATTTTTTTCTGGATTTTCCATAAATAGTTTACTATAAAGAACAACCAATTATAATTTTTTAATCTAATTAAGCTATTAAAAAATACAAAAAAAAAGATTATCTAAATTAGATATCAAATAAAATGTAAGTAGTATGGCATTATGCTCCAATCTATTTCAATAGCTCCTTCACCCAATTTGATTTTGTATCTTGACTGCTCAAAGAATAAAAAACCTAAAAATTAATGGGAAGCATCGTTGTTATGATGTTGGGCTGATATATGGAAAAGAAATTCTAGGATTCAATCTGTAATCCAAACCAGTTAACTTACAATGAGCAGTAACTTTGGTAATTTAACCGTAACATCACATTACCATATGGATGGTAAATTACAAACATATAATGTTCTAAAAAACATGCACTTTATCGGACATCAGAAACATATAATGCTCCAAAAAAACACGCACTTTATCAAACAACAAATACTTATTTTTTGGTGAATAGTTTGTTTTTGTCGATTAACTATATAGCTGGTGAATTATAGCCCATGAGATTCCACCTTCAATTTCGGTGGGGTTTTTTTTTTTTTTTTTTATTATTATTTTTTTTTAAATTATGTCTTTTTTTTTTTTTTTTTTTTTTTTTTTTTTAATTTTTAATTTTTAATTTTATTCATTATATGTCTAATTCTTTTTAGTTTTATTATTCAAAATTGATATAAAGACATTAATTGTTTTCTTATTTTCTTTATTTTACATTTTTCTCAAGCATTTTTTTTTGTTTTTTTGACAAAATGTTTTGTAGATGTTATCCAGTTGAACGATACAACATATGGATAAGCAAAATGTTATATGTAAGTTACAAAATTGAGGAATTTTGACATAAATATTATCCAAATTTTAAAAGTAACGTCTCGTACATTTAAAATATATAAAAGATATACATAACATTTGTGGTTTGGGGCTTGGACATTAGAGACGGCTAGTGTTCAGGGTTATGGATCGGGGAAAAAGCTAGTTCGTTAGTTTCAATATCATAAGTAAGTTGGAGGATGAACGTATAAAATATTATAAGGAATAGTTGATCTCATTAACACCTTATAAAAATATTCAAAACAAAAAGAACTAAAATAGGTATAAAAGTCATTAAAAAGAATGCTTGGAAATTATAAATCGAATTAAGTCATCAATAGTGAGTAAGATTGGAGAAAAAAACTATCTTATAATATGAATCACAACGTGTCGAATTTTATATGGATGTATCGAAAATGATTTCGAAAACTTACTATCAAAGAATTATTTTATTAATCTATTGAAGTAAAACAGTTAGAGATTTCTCGACTAAGATTCAATCACCTTCGACTCAACTAATGCTAAATATTTTTGCTATGTTTTTAAGTTTACATGGAACCTAAAAATCAAAGAAAAAACTTACTTTAATCATCAATCATTACTATATATATTGGTAAGCATTCTATTAACACATAAATTGTACATGCTTTAATATCAACATAAAAAGATTCTAGCAAATGGGTTCCATTTCCACTCCAAAATTTAAATATCAATTGTTTAAGTCATCTCATTGCAATTGGTAAACCATTTGAGAGTCCTGGGAAAATCCGTACATGTAACAATGGAAAACCATAAGTGCCAAAGTATGAAACTAGTTTGCATAAAAAATCCATTTCTTCCAACTAAAATAAAAACTACGTTGCATAAAAAATCCATTATTTTCTATCCACCAAAAACTAAATAAAAGGAAAAAAAAAGTAAAATTATTTTTAATCTATGTCTCTCTCTTTCTTTTAGAAAGACGTGAGAGGGAGAAGGTGAAGTAGTTATATGTCTTCATGTTTTTACACACACCTGAGACTTTTACTTAATTTTTAGAATAAGTTTAGCTTCTTATAGACATACCAGAAAGCTTCATTGCATTCTAACATTACCCAACTCAATTTTTAAAGATTAAGTTGAGTTTGCAAAGTACCTAACAGATAGGATAGCGTTAAAGTTTACAAAGTAAAAAAAAAACATCAATTATCCAGATTTAATGAAAAAACAAAGAAAAAAAATAAGACCGCGGGGTGTAGGTGAGGAGTTTCCCTCACTTTTTCCCTGCCACGTCATCATTTCCCTCACTTTCCTTTCTCTCACCTAAACCCAAGAAATGGGTATGAAGCTTCCATCACTATTTGCTTTTTTATCTTTTTAAATAAAATTAATTCATTTTTATGATTTATAATTTTTAAATTAATAATAAACATAAAATTTAATTAAAAGAAAATGCATTTCATTAATTAAAATAAAAATTACAATAAACCTAAGATTTAAAAAAGTAGAATATTAAAAAAAAAAAAACACAAACAAAAAATCAAAGCTTCATAAAGTATTTCGACTTCCTCAAGGTAAAATTGCAAAGCTTCTTGAAGTATTTCTTCGTCGCCTTAGCCGTTTCTTCGTTGGGGTTTTAGGTTGTTGTACAACCCGTTTATTTTTTAAACCCCCTTGCTATTTCTCGAAACTTCGAATTCATTTGGTGTTTCGTACGGTAGTCGCCACATTTTCCTAGCTCCTCCTGAAACCGGTCTAAAATGCAAAGCCAAAAATGATCTTCCGGTTGTGCATTTCCCGTCTTCGAATCCTCAGAATTGTCAACCCAAGCTTTTACGAAAACTAACTCTTCTTGTGGAAGCCATGGTATCGGCCTTTGTCTTCCCAGTTGTGCGACACCCTCGCGCGCTTATTGTTTTCCTTTGCGTCGTTGTGGGGGTGGTGTGGGTTGAGTTTCGCGAACCATCTCTTCTTCCGAGTGATCCAACTCATCGACAAGTTGGAATTGTTGTTGGGTTTGGATTTGAGTTTGGGTTTGGGTTTGGGGTTGGGTTTGGGTTTGAGGTTGATTTGGCGAATGTTGATCGGGAAAAACAACAAAGTTTGAAAACATTTGCGGAGTAACATTTGGAACTTGGACCGGGTTATTGTCTAACATTTTGGTATTGAAATTGTAGTGGAGATTGAATGAAAGCATCGAGTTGGGGATGATAAACTCCTTGTGATGATGAATCAATAGCAAAAATGTTTCGAGTAGGGGTGCTTGGACTCGAAACATGAGTTTTTTTTTTTTATTTCTATCGGAGGTTGGGGTTTGATTGTCGGGATTCATTTTTTTTTTGAAGAAAATAAAGAGAAATTGATTGAAGGTAAATGAGTATGGGTATTTATAGAGGTTGTAGAGGGTAAAAAAAATTTACATTTTCAATGATATAGCCGTTGGAAATAAAAAAAGAAAAAAAACAAATTTTACCGTTTTTTAACGGTTGTATTTGTAACACCCCGTTATTTTCTTCTTGGAAAGTCAACCCTAGTCAATCAAAGTCAAACTTGGGGTCAACTAAAGTCAACTTAAATCTTATTCCATCTTAAATGGATTAGATTAATATTTTATAAGTGTTTACACCTTGTATTCAAGGTGTTATATGTTTAAGAGGTGAAAGCTTGAAGTCCGAAGACCATTCTTTCTTTCCCTTCGGACAGCAGCCTCGCAACCGAGAACATCAGGCTTCGGCCGTGAACGACGGCCGCAAACCCTCGGACCGTGAACGCTTCTCGGCCACCACCGCCTTCGGACCGCAAACGAGGTTCACGGCCGTGAACCCTTCGGACCGTGAACCCTCGCATATATATATGGGTGTTAGCCATTTTCTCCTCATTTCTCATCTTCCAACCGTGAATTCTCACATTCTCTCTCAAGTATCATCAACCATGAACCCTCCTTTCTCCTCAAAAGTGTAAGAAACACTTCCCTTTTCTTGTTGTTCATCTGAAACCCTTTGATTCCATCTTTTATTCATCACATTTTCTTCAAGATCATCAGGTGTTCTTGGGTCGTGAACCATCCCAGGGCCGTGAAAACATCATCTTGGCCGTGAACACTGCAAGTGTTCTTCATGTTCTTGGGCCGTGAACCACTCATAGGGCCGTGAACCCTTCACTCTTGGCCGTGAACTCTATTTCAGCCTCCTAATTTGCTTCTAACACTCTTTTGGTGAGTTACTCTTGCATCCTAGGTTGTTTCCTAAACACCTTTGTAGTTATATTCATTAACTTTACACATATTTGTGTAATAATATGCTAAATAGGATCTATTTGTGCTCGGGACTTCATTTGGCATATCAATCATTCTATATCATATATTCAATCAAATCTCCAACATAAGGTGAGTTCATACCCCTTTAATCTACCTTTTAAATGGTTTTTAAATGCTTTTAAGGGGGGGGGGGGGGGAATACAAGTTGAACACAATCTAATTGTGTTAATAATTGTTTGTGATATCAATCAGACAAATGATTTCCTTATGTTTTTAAGGATTACCAAATACTTCTGTAATGACTTAAAGTCATGTTAACTCTTTTAAAAGTCACATAAACTCTTTTTAGAACACCGTTAAACTCTTTTAAATGTTTAAACTTATAATTGTCAAAATTTTGTTTATATATGTATAGATATATAAATAAGATTTAAAGGGCTTAGGACTAAATGAATTGCCTTATTTCATTTTCCTTGTCTGGATGTGGACTTAAAGTGGTGTTATTTGTTCGAAGGTCGTTTCCTTCTTAATTATGTATATTATACATATATGGATATAAAAGGTTACTTCAATCGGTATCATTACCTTTGTATCATGCTAAGCAAAGGCGTACAATCATGAGAAGATCATGCTAATCAGATAGAACATATAAATTATAATATGTATAATTTATGAAACAAACGAGAAATCTATTTTCTAGATAAGTATACGAGGTCTAAACTACTTTGTCAAGAATATGGTATAATTCGATCTTTACACAAACTAAAATATGATAGTACGTCTTCAGGACATAGCAATATACTTGCTATGTTACATTCTTGTAACCAGAGTCTCTTGGAGGGAGAGCGGGCATTGTGTGTATAGATCTATACGAGACTGACAAGTGACAATCTCACATCCCGACTACTAGCTACAGTCCGACAGACAAGCCACGTGGTGACAAATGTCACATATTCAGTTTCGACGCCAGAAGGTCGTCGTGTTCATTCTAGTCCAGCATGGTTACAACTTTATTACATTTTAACCCTAATTAACCAATTAATATTAGGGTAGTTATTACACTAGTAGTGTATTTTTAAGAGATACTACTGCACCAATCACTTTCCATAAGCAAAACAGAAAACATTCTTCTTATAATTTTATGGTGAATTAAAATTATGTCATACTAGGTTATAAGTACATTAACACTTAAATAGAACGGTTTTATGGGATTAAAACTACTTATCAGTTGTAAAGCAGAGAATATAGGATTTTCTGGAACGTATTCAGTCACTTTCTTAAAACTAGAATAACATAAAGGACCGTTAGTGGTTAATTCTGTAATTCCTTAGTTTATACATTAAAGTTATATATAAATAATATCCGATAGGCAGTGGAATGTGTGATTTCCACCTTACTTCCTGTTCCTTGTTTGGTTGTGGGCTTAGGGCAGATTCACACATTTAACTGTCCGTTCGATATTAAATTATATATAGTTAGTATAAACTAAGTGATTATAGAATGAACTATTGTGGTTATCAATTTACTTAAGAAAATATATGATTTTCTTAAAGAATCTTTTTATCAAATGTCAAGGAATTATTACAGTTAACTCCGTAAGCACCTAGTGAATACGTCAATGTTATATACAATGAGGATCTAACAAATAATGGAATGTGTGACTTCCGCCTCATTTCCTGTTCCTTGTTTGGTTGTGGGCTTAGGGAAGATTCACACAATCGATTGTCTGTTTGATCTGGATTGTATATAACTTGTATTCATTAAGTACTCATAAAAGAAATTGTAAGAGTCATTTTTACTTATCTCGTCCCATCAGAAAATATAAGATTTTTTGAAGGAACAGGCGAACTCTTCCAAAAGAACTTAGAGTATACTTTTTATAACAAAAATACTTATGAACTCATCAGCTTAAATGCTGATCCTCTCTTTCAAAATAACTTGTATTCTCAGGAAATTCAGTAAATAGGTACACACCCGGAGCTTTTGAGAAGACAGCCTAGTGCCGCGCTGCGACTTTTGTCTTTTACTGTACCTACTTTTGATGTCGAATATCTAATGTATAAAGACTTATGTAAAAACTTATACATTATTAATGCAATGATTGTTGTACTTTGATTACTATAATGCATGTGTTGTGATAGTTGACATGACGTACTCCGCCCCCCGAACGTTTCCGTCGTTCTGGTTTGGGGGTGTGACAATATTAAAAAAAAATAATAATAAATAAATAAATAAATCTTCCTATCCAATCACCGGTGGAGCGAGAACGCGACAACCCTTCCCCTCGGCTTCTTCCCGCGCAGCGCTATCTGCAACCATGGTACGGTGTTCATCGGACCGGCTCCGTCCGTCCTAATAACCTGATTGTTGTGGCCACACATATTCTATTCCTACAATTTACAACCCTTCGGTGGAAATGAGAATAACACATGGACAATTTACCGAAGACTATAGTTAGAAAATGGAGTCCTTAAAGGATAAAGGTTCAGTTAACCGTTACATGGGTCGAGTGAACAAAAAGGGTTAAGGGTTTATAGGGAACATGCTTTGGAATATAGATTATGTGTGTCTAAAAACACAGGCTAAGGTTTTATTCGGTGGTCCTTTTGATCGAAATAACATCCAGCCATCAAAACTATAAAAATGAAATCTTTACCTACAAAAATTGGGAAAACAAAAAAAATCATAAAAAATCAGATTATTTTCATAGTTCCAACATGTGTGTTCATTTGCATAGGTTGATCGATTTGACATTCCATCAAGAAAAGAGGAATTGAACCGATATGGGGAAGAGATAGGGTCGAGATCTCAGGATTCAACATAGACGCCAGTGTCTGCTCTTTTCACCTTTATCTCTCCCGATCGGAAATCAAACATTAAAAATCAACAAAAAAATGCAATTTTTCTGCTTATAGAAACAACTGTTGATTTTTTAAGTTTTTTCTCTATGGAGAGCTGCGGCAGTGGGGTTTATCTATGATGGTAGTTGAAGGCGATGGGGGAGGGGATTTCGAGATAGTGGTTAGTTGGCGATGGTGGTGTTATGCGATTTTGGTTCTAGAATTATCCGAAGTGCGATGAGTGGAGCAGTGGTGGTGAATGGCATGAGGTTCGGAGTTGGGTGGCTGAGGGGGCGTTTTGGGTTTCTCTTGGATGAGGAAGAGAGATGGAGGAAAGCGATAAATGAGTGTGGAGATGAAAGCGATTGAGAAGTTCACCAGAAAGACGTTCTCCACCAGAAAGATGCAAGATATAGGGAGAAAGGCCGAATCCACGTATATTTTGCTAATATCTCGGACTCAACAGACCCGATCGGTCAAATGCATTTGCGAGCTTTTAAAAAAAATTTGAATTGAATGACTCGCCTTTAGACTTTAACTTTTTGACTTTTGTTGACCAAATAAAATTCCAATACATAAAGTTATTATATATATTGCATAAGGGCTTGTACGACTTAAAATTCAACATTTGACTAAATATGTTTTATAAAGTATAATATATATATATATATATATATATATATATATATATATATATATATATATATATATATATATACAATTAATGCGTAATAATGAGAAATCTTTTTGAATCATGCTTGAATAATATGATTACCTTGATTGTTTAAAGAAAAAATTATTTTAACAAAAATCTCAAATCTTGTGGAATTAATTGTTATACAAATTCGAAATGAAATAATCATAGTAAATAACCAAAATATTTGTAAGAGAAAATGAATTCAAGATAATAACAAGAATTGAATAAAGTACTTATTAAATAGAATATTCTTTGATTAGACTTGGAATACAATCAGTACAAGCATTTTGAGAAAGGATGATCTGAAAATTTAGAGACTTTGAACATCGAGAGGTAGATAGAGAAATAGTAGGAGTTTTTCTAGATATAAACTATACATTTGAGAGAGTGAAATTTTTCGAATGCTTGAAACTAAAAACTTCAACTCAATTTATAGAAGATTTTTGCTTTTGATCTTGGTAACTGGATGTTTACCGAATCTTTTCTTGAATAGTTTTTCTTTGTCATGTGCATGAGTGGTTGAAATAAAATTTCTTCTTTAGATAATGCTCTTGTATTCTTGCCATAATGGTTGTCAAATCATTCTTCTTTAGACAATGTTTTGTCTTCTTGTTTTGTCTTCTTGTCATAATGGTTGTCAATTCTTCATAGTGGTAGTCAATTCTTCAATTATATTGCCGACATCCTTTTTAATTATCAATTTTATTTTCTTGAGGCAAATAATGATAACAAACCTGTAATATGTATTTTGATAAAAGTGTTTATGCACGCATTGTATATTGTATACATACATAATGTACAATACCCTATATTTGAGAAACTAGATATCTTGAAAAACATTGAAACGAAATACCCTACATTGAAGATATACACAAAAATAAAATTTAGAATATTTATTCTTCGTATGGATCATCAAACGGGTCTTGAGCGTCTTGAAGTAATCGAGTTCTTGGAGTAGATTCATTTGATTATGTAGGGGATCTACGAATATCTTGTCATAAACGGTGAAGTTCTTCTTGAGATGAACCGACAACGTTAATAATTCTAGCTACTAGTTCAAGATCAAGGAGAGGAGCGTTCTTGATTTCTTATGTTTTTGCTTTTGTAGAATGATGGATTTCTTGATAATATTTGATCACCTTCGTTGAGTTGGCTTGAGGAAGTTTGAATTTTTCCCACCATTTTATTTTATATTGGTAGTTAAGCCATGGAGGAGAAATGTCTTTTGCTTCTTGATAATTATAAGTCCACGACATAATCCATGGAATTTTGAATAACATGGAAAATTTTAATAGATATTCAAATTCAGGGATAGGTTGAACAAATAACTCTTTGAATTTGAGAAATCCATTCAAAACTTCATCAGGTAGACATTTTGGTATTAAGCCCATGAACTTATACCAATTAACAAACCATTTGGGATATTCATAGTCAAAGTTTAGATCAAAAAAGATAAACCAAGAATGTGAATAATTGCGTACAAGGAATGCTTTGGACCAGGCCTCTTGATAATCACAATAGGAATATTTTGGGTAAGCAAGATATCCTACTAAAATCTTTTTGGAATGGGGATTTATTGACCAATCTTGAGGAGAAATGACCTTGAGAATTTGAGCTTTACTGTAATCAATTTCCTTCAGATGAATTGGAACAATGAGTGAAACATATAGAACCAGATTCTTGAAGAATGGTTTGATAGTATTCTCTGGTCTTATAAGGATCATAATAAAAGGTTTTCCCTCGACCAAAAAGATGATCAGTGAAAATATGAAATCCTTGATTTAACTTTGAAATCTGAGAGTCTTCAAGAATTTGAATTCTTTCAATATTTGGATTTATAATATATGAAGTCTTAGTAGAAAGAACAATTTTTTAAGTTCCCAAAGGAGACGAGGATGGAGATTTGATAAAAGGACTAACAGTCTTGATTGGAGAAATATTAGAAGTGACAAGTTTTGATTCTTTGTTTTGAAGAACATTAGTCAAAAGTACAGATTTGTTTTCTGGAGATAAAGGAGAAAATCTATTTGGACGAGGAGGAAAAGGTACAAGTTTTTGAGAAATAGGCTTCTTGTTATCTGTTTTTGGAGGATGAAGAGGAAGAACTCATTTCCCCTGTAAAAATTCACGAGAAAGAAAATATGGAAGTGAATTATTTTCTCCTTTAATAAATTCTATTTCAAAATCAAAGTTGCCTAGAAGGGTTTGCCATCTAGCAAAAATTTGTTTAGAAATAATGTTTTTGACATCTTTTTCTAAAATTGATTTCGCAGATTGACAATCAATTCTTAATAAAAACTGTTTCATAAATAAATCATCTTCAATCTTTTTGATGCATAAAACAATGCTTAAAATTTCTTTTTTGACCTTTGAATAGTTTCTTTGGGTGTGATTTCAGGCACTGGAAAAATATCGAATTAGTTGTTCATCTTTTGAATCTAAATTTTTTTGTTTTAATATACCTCTAAATCCAATATCACTAGCATCAGTTTCAACTATAATGTTTGCATTTGGATGAGGTAGATTCAAACATGGTAATGTTGGAATTTTTTGTTTAATATGTTTAACTATATTAGTATGTTTTTGAGTCCATGGTTATGGATTATCCTTTAATCTATCATAAAGAGGTTTACATATAATTCCCAGATCTTTGAAAAAGTCATGTATATAGTTTAAACATCCTAAGAATCTTTAAAGTTGTTTTTTATCTTTAATTTCGTCAGGGAATTTACTTGAAAATTCTAAACTTCTTGTTATGGGTCTAATGGTGTTTTTAATGATGTCATGTCCTAAAAACGTATTGATCTTAAATAGATGCACTTTAGTTGCTGATACAGCTAAACCATTTTTATAAATAAGATCATGGAATATGTTTAAATGTATAAAATGTTGGTCAATATATTTTGAAAAGATAAGAACATCATCAGTATAAACAATAGCGAAACTGTATATAGGAATGATAATATCATTCATAATATTTTGAAATTCAGAAGGACCATTTTTTAATCCGAAAGGCATAACATTCCATTCGTAATGTCCAAAAGGAACATTAAACCCAGTTTTATATTTGTCAGATTCATGAAAATGTATTTGCCAAAACCCTGATCTCATATCAAATTTTGAGAATATTTTTGAATCATAAAGTTTTTTCAATAAATCTCTTTTATTGGGAATAGGATATCTAATCCATTCTAAGACTTTATTTAGAGGTTTATAATTGATAACCAATCTGGGTGATCCTTTTTCTAATTCGGTTGCATTTATAACATAAAAGGCCGAACAAGACCATGGTGACTTAGAAGGTCTTATTAGCTTTTTATCTAGTAAGTCTTGAATTTCTTTTTTACAATGAATTTCCAATTCATTATTCATGTGAATGGCTCTTGATTTTGAAGGAATGTCATTTTCATTAAAAATTTTAATGTAAGGTGATTTAATGATATGTTGTTTTCTGCTCCAAAAGACATTTGGAATATTAGAGTAAACATTCTTTTCAAATTTTAATGTTAAAGCTGTTATTTTGTCTTGAATATGTTTTTCTTCTAATTGATTAATTATACGAA